AGCAGCAGCACCATGGGCCACATGGCTGTCACTGCGTGGGGCTGTGTATGGACACGGCAGGGACGCACAGGGACACTCACAGATACTCACAGACACACAGGGACACGGCAGGGACACGCAGGGACAGTCACAGACACACAGGGACACAGCACAGACACACAGGGACACACGGATACAGCCCAGTCCTGCGCGTGCAGCCCCAGCCCTTATAGGCACGGCAGCTTAGGGACACGGGGATTATGGACCGGCCAATACAGCGGCTTTAGGGACAGCGCTGCTTAAAGACACAGAGCTCCCGGACAGGGCACTGCACCCATGGGCACAGCGCTGCATGGGCAGGGCACCCATGGGCACAACACCCATGGACAGGGCACCCACGGATGGGGCACCCCAGGCCATGTCACCCTATGGGACCCTATGGCACCACACATCACCCCATGGCCATGGCACCCCATGGCACCCTGTGACATCCAGTGACACCCCACCTCCCACGGCAGCCCCTGGGAGGTGCCCACACGTGTGCACAAGGTGGGGACATGTGTGTCACCCCAGGGCTCTGCACACACAAACACGGGCACACCCACACCCGTGCAAGGGAGCCAAAACCCCTTTGCACACCCACAGCCCCTGCAAACCCCCTTGCACACCCCTTGCACACCCACACGCCCTCCCCGGTGCCTGCAGCTCTGCTGACCCCTCCCGGCGGCACCAAGGAAGGGCCCCGTGCGTGTGCAAGGTGACACACACGTGTGACACACTCACCGCACCCCCAGCGCCCTCCCAGCCCCAGACTGGTGGGAAATGGCGATTTACATAAAAAACATCAGCGCCACGTGGGACAGGGCTGGTTGTGACACAGGTGACACAGGTGACATAGGTGACACGGGTGACACGGGTGGCGCCAGCCCCAATCCCCCCTCGCGTTCACCACAAGGATCAAACCCATTTTTGTCTCCTTTAATAAAATTGACAGCAAAGTACCAAAAAGGAGGAAACGGCGGCAGGGACCGGGGGGACACGGGGCAGGAAGGACACGGGGACACCCCCGCACCCCCCGTGTCCCTGTCCCTTGGGGACACCCCATGTCACCACCCCAGACCCCTCCGCAGCGAGGCCGCAGCCACAGCCCCCCCACCGGGTTAATTACAGGGTTAATTACAAGGTCGGTTAGTTAATTAAGGGTTAATTACAGGGCGCGGGGTTATTGCTACCTGGGAAGGGGTGACAGGGGACACGAGGGACAGTGAGGGACCCCCATCCTGGTAAGGGGTGATTGGGGTCCCCAAGGGGGGGCTGTGGCCTGGAGGACATGGAGGGGACCCCCAAACCCCCCCAAACCCA